GCTGTCGGTTTTAGCTACCTATCTCGGACCAGTGTGGTGAAGCGCCAGTCGGCTTTTGTGAACAAGAAGCTGATTGATGGGAAGTGACCCGATCCAGCCCTGAGACTTGTGGTCGACGACGGTGCGTCAGTGATTACGTCATCATCGATGAGGATTACGCAATCATCGGAGTGGATCGACATGGTGCAATCCTTTGGATACACGATCTACCGACAAGGACGCGATCTACTGATGACACATATGGGTTAGCGTCCATCGATATCCTTGAGTGTGGAATTTCACGTCGTTTTCCTCCTCGACTGGAACGTAGTATTGCAGGTGGATACCGCGCTCAATCCGTCATGATCATGTTCGTACTGGGTAGGAAATTTGAGTTCGGCCAGTTCGAAGCCGCGGCAGCAGCGGGCTCCCGGGGTACTAAAAAAGCCGAACTGAGCAAACATGCAGCTTCAAACAAGTATGATGGAAGGCTCCAGGCCAAGATTCTTCATCTTTCAAAATATGACTTGGCTGGAAGTATCGGCGAGAAATGGAGAAAAGATTTGGATGATGTGACGTTCTTGGAGCCTGCCAAACGAAGGAAGCAGGAGTTGGCTGCCTTGGCCAATAGAGTCGAGGTTGGAGGCGGTGGCAAGTCGGAGGTGGAGTCGGAGGTGGCAGCGGCGGGGTTGTAGTCGAGGTCTTGCTTGAAGGTTGAGTTGAACAGAAGAGGCAAATTGAGAAGTGATTAATCAGTTAGAGTTTGCGGCGGCAAGTTAGTAGTTGCCGCACAAAACCAGTATTTCTTGGCAACCGGATAGTCACGCACGTATCCAGGTCCCATCCTAAAAACTATCTTTCTCAAATCCTGTTTTATCTGTAGCTACCAATGAAAACCTACGAATCCTAATCTTATCTTGGTCGGAAATTTTTCGCACAGCGTCCGATAATCACAATTTCCGGATGGAAGCTTGATTGTTGCAAATCCATGTGATTTAGGACCAATAGGATTGTAGACTGATGTAAAAGACACGCAATTTAAGTTTACCCCGTCCAGAATAATCTGACCAGCTGAACTCAAATAATTGGCGTGACTGATCACTGCCATGCCATTGGTCAGATGACCACCACGTCACAAATGAGTAATGTGATTTTCCAGGGAACAAAAGATACCACTGCTTTCTGGATGTTTCACATAGCTGGTTTTAAACAAACATTATGCTATAAAATATGTTTTCAGTGCACGTCCGATATACTAGATCATATAGTGCTTTTACTCATTCTAGTTGTTTAAAGTGACATCTATACGCTACAACCGTGCAACTCGTTTCCGGCAGTGTGGAACATATCAAAAACTAGAATTCATCATTATTAAGATAGATTTATAAACTGAACCTGTCTAAAATCAAATTGATTATTCCCGAATATAAGATTACACCGGTGCCGATAACGAGGTGCACGACTGTAACGTACAGATGTCACTCAAAGCAAAAAATATTAATAATACCGTTGTTAACACTTTCGGCTGCTTATGCCGACTGTACCACCACGGCAATTATTAATAAGTTATTTTTAATACAACGTGAACTGCCAAGTACATGTACTATTTAAGTACGAAGGATTCAATGCGTACGCGTGACAAACCACGACCACAAAGGAAGTTGCACTCGCTCAGAAATAGATAAAGTTCCCCCGTCGAGGGAACACTACCAGTTGGCGTCTTTGAGATCAAAATCTCCCAGTTAAACTACATTTTACCTGAACCAAAGCTATTTGAGAACAGCTAGCCCAAGATGGCCGCCAGAAACCATTATTAGGCATTGCCAAATCTACAGATTATCTCTGAGCTGCACTCATAACTTCACCATAGCTTTTCTTCAGTAACATCATCACTGGTACAGGTCATTGTCGCAATGTGCGGGTCTATTTCACGGTAGCACGGAAATTGAGGAATTATTGAAGCGGAAAAGCTGCAAGGCCTCGTCGAAGAGTATGTTTTTCCCATCCAAAGCGCTGTGGTTTTCCAATACAAAAAATGTGTTTTGAGACCTTATTTAACTCTCCCGGCATTAGCTCATGCGATCTACTTTTAGGCTGAAGAAGTGTTTAAATTGTTTCTTTTCCGAAATTTTCGCACTAAATAAAATGCTAAATGCATCATTCGCTCGAAAAAGTCAATCGAGCCGTGCGAGCTCCATAAACACTCGAAAAAGGGATGAAAACTCCTACAAATGATTTCCAGAGTTCTAGGAGGCGAGTCAATCTGACTCAAAACTTCTTTAACTTCCTATACTCAGAGCCGTTATCAGCTCAAAACTTTAGTAAAGTTACTTGAGAACTTGATACACCTGTTATATAGCATGAAGACTGTTTTGGTATACCCAGTATAGCAGATTTCTCTCCTAAACCTTCATACATGTAACGCGTCATTTCAGCTTAAATCAGATATGATTTCCGTCCTTTATTCAAATAGACTCGCGATGTATATCTGATATCCTTTTCACAAATAATGCCACCGTGGTGAATGTTGCTTGTGGCGGCCAAGCCTAATATCACTGTAAATTACGACTAGCCGAAGTAATTTGAATCCGTGTTAATGTTTCTCTCACACACCTATGGCAATGAAACGTCCATTTATGAATACCATGTTGCACTGGTTGCAGCGCACCTGCTAACCGAGTGTTGACGCGTTATGGATTATATTTTGGACTCAACGAAGTTTTTACTTGCGTTTTACTGTTGTAGGGCTCATCAGCCTCACCTTGTATGGGATAGTAGGTATCAACGGTATATCCAGCTTAATTTGTCCGGAATACTGTTGTGCCAGCTCGCCATCAAAAACTCTATTTTATGCCTCTCAGAACCCGCATTCTGTTCTTGAACGCGCGGAAATACGACAGACTTACAGCGAAGCACTGACCGTCTCCGTTAGGTTACCGTCACGGAACGGTTGTATTAGATCGTTACAAGCTGCAAAACGTGGTCTCGCAAACAAGCCTTGCTGTTGAACACGAGTGTTCTACTCAAAGTCCTTGTAGTGTCTACACCAGGTTGCAAACCGTTGACGGAGTCTGTCAAAATCTGCGGCCGATAACTCCGTCTTGTGGATGTTGGAAGGGTTCACACCACCTTTATCCATACCCTTGAAAAAGTCCTTAAGCGTCGTCTCAAGAGAGTCGGCTTTATTCGTTTTGGCCAAGCGCGCCAGGTGAGCGAGGTCCGCACCTGCCGGGATTTCCCTTTCTTCGTAGTCCTCTTCGCCATCACTCTTGTTGTTGCTGTGGTAGCGCAACATTCTCTTGTGGATGTTCACGACTTGGTCCGGGTACCGCGAGAAACAACCGTCATAGACGGCCCGAGATGAGGGGCTTCAGCCGCGAAAGTAGCTTCTGTGAGGAAAGCGAGGTGGGACAGAAGCATTGGGATTTTCTTCTGTTCTGCATGACGAGGGCAAGATATGGGGATCAAAAGTAATTGTATTTACGAGATTACATCGAGACCACGCGTCGGCGCGTCAGTAGGTGACGCGAACCCCATTGAGCGACGGTGGTCTCGATGTTGCTCGGTATGTGCGATTGCTAATCATCACCGCCAAAGGTGCTCCCATGTCGTCCGAGTAGTGTGTATATCGCTGGAATGCGTTGGATTTCCGTCGCCCGTGTAGTTTAATCGTTGTCGAATCCGCACGCCACCAATTAGTGCAGATACGCCTCCGCTGCGAAGTGACTGGCACGAAAACTGCTTAGCATCGAGACCATTTGCTACTGCTGCTGCCTTGAGTACTTTTGATAGTTCTTCCGCTTTCAGGATGCGTGATCTGCTAAATGAGTATATCGGATCGGTAGGTTGAAGGTGATGCTGGGCGGCAAGATCCAGATTGCTGCGCCGAAAACTGGGCAGACGCGTTGGTGACCTGAGCGCATTAGTCGTCGGGATGTACCTCGGTTCTGCTGATCGGTCTTGCTACCACGTAATGTTATCACAACGCTTGTCGCGTCGCAGAAATTAACAGCGGGTCTATCGGTAGCGTCGAAAACTTCCACGTCACGAACTTCAAGAGCGTATCAGTGTCTTCCTCCCTGCATGGCTAGATACTCAACACTTCTTCGAAGATAGAAGACACCAAGCCGCGCAGCCCCAAGAATGAGGCGGTGCTGGGGCTTCTTGTAATCGATTGGTTTGGCAATCCAGTCGAGCATTGTTGTTGTTGTTGCTGGGGCTCTGGGAGACTACTCCTCCGGATCCCTACAAGCGCGGTGGCGAGTCCAGCGGTGACAGTCGGTTCAAATCCGGCGAAGACGCGATGATATTACTTGACATGACTAAGCTGGGCGCGAATGAAGGATATTGATCTAGCGTGTTTAGTGCCCGAGGAAATGGGTGACCACCGAGAGATGGCAAACAGCACCAGTTGAAGAGATTGTGTTTAAGAATCGGATTCTGGCAGCCATGGAGATCGTCCCAGTTGTTGACAGAAGTGTTCCCATTGTCGCCATGTTGACTCATGTTGCCGTCGAGAGGTATCTGCAAGGGAGTGTTGCTGAAGAGCGACCAACTGGCGTCGTAGGCCTTCCTCACGCTGACTGGTACTTGAACCTGCGGTCATTGAGCGGTTAGTGCGAGCCACTTATTCAACAGGTTTCCAGACCATGAACGCTATCCAAAATCAGCAAGATAATTGCTTGTCCCTGTGAGATGCTCAGCCGATATTCGCAAGTCGTGTTGTGCTTCTGCTGCTCCGAAAATTCTATTAGTCTCTTGCGACTGAGGATTATAGCTTGTTAACTTGTTGCACCATTAAACAGCGGATGAGTTGTCGATCCAAAATCGCAGGTGGGTGATAGAATCTTGATCATGGGAACTTCACAGGTCACCCCAGCACAGCACAGCAAGTACTGTACTAAGGTGTTCTCTAACGTTGATACTGAACTTGCCTTGTTGAATTAGCACCTTTTCCTCGTCAAATAGGATACGGAGAAATTCACGCCGGGCTGGGTGCAATACACACAGGCCCATTCGCTGGCATCCATGTAGAGGTGTACATTCGGGTCGGGGAGATCAGAGAAAAACTCGAGTGGAACACCCCGGAGACGACCGAAGCGAAGAATGTGCTCAAACCACGTGAAATCGAGTTCGGCGTCGCGTGTTAGCGTGATGGTTCGGTCTCGTGGGGATCGTCGCCACAGCGTGGCTAACCGTTGAAAGAATGGCTTTGCAGGTCGGATGCATGCGGAAACGTGGCGTAAACTACCCAAAAGCCGAGACAGTTCTTGGTGAGTGGTTGTTCGCGCCCGCAGTATAGTGTAAACACGATCGAGGGCCTTCTGGATCTTCTAAGTAGGCATTGACACCGTCATCGCTGAAGAGTCCCATTCCAGTCCCAGGGCCACGCGTTCCGTAGACCACGGTGTGAATTTCTTTTCGGTGATGGCTCGGGGGCCAAGGGCTGCAGTCATTGCCAGTCTAAGTGCGCATTCACATGCTTCTAGTTGATTTCCCACATCAAGTTCCGCGAGTACGTGATCGTCTACCCAGTCAAAGCAAAAGAATGGCGTTGCGTCCGGATCACTAGGACTCATGCTGTGGGGGCTTTTTCAGCGCACGAGAAGCGAAATTGCTCGACCAAAGAATCCGTAGTGAGCTGGTGATCCTGTCCAGCCAAACGGAACCGCAAGGTCGATCACCACAATATCTTGCTCGGGGATTGAGCCGGCGAAAAATAGGCTAACGGTTTCATGTACGTGCAAGATGCGGAAGGCAGAATTCACATCGCCTTTCATCAGCTTGATCGCAGTCTGTGAATTGGCTGCTCTTAGACGAATAATCCGACGTGCATTCACATCAACGAGTTGATACACCAGCTCCGGAATTGATTCTTGGTCTGACCACGAGTTCGTAGATTCTCCAAGAGGATATGAGAGATCGTGAACTGATCTAGCCTCGATCGCCGGGTCCGCATCGACTTTTTCCACACATCCAAATGGACTGTAGTGCAGTTTCCATCTCGAGGCGGCGGCGCGACTCACTACCAAGTAAGTACCCTTACTCTGGCCATCACGAATACTCCGGAGCAGTGCGTTCTTGTATAGACTCACTGATTTGTGGTTTCGCACTGGTTCTCGTTGACGAAGTGTATCAGATTCAGGCTTGAATGAGTGTTCGACGCCGCGTGAGGCAGAATCGATGACCTGGTCCACGTATTCGTACCCGTGTAATAGCCACGCAAATGATCCGATGACAAGGCCTTTTTGGGGCTTGGCGAACCTGCATTTTGACCACGTAATACTCGGATGGTATTCGCCAGTGACCATCCAGCTTGGACAACGAGTTGAGACGCAAGTTCGTGATTAATAAGAAATTGAGGGACGTCAACGACCTCAATTGATCGAGAAACTGGTTCAGGATGCGGAACGTCTGCCCGTGTCAGCTCAGACAGCAGTCTGTTCCGTTGCGTTTGCTCAGCTGACTGTAATCGTTGCTCTAGGTATGCAATCACCCTCTGCACCTTCTTGATATTGTCAACACCCTCCTGGGAGCCATGCCGCGGCAAGACTCGTCCAATTCATTGCTGATCCGAAGGCACACGCACTCCTCCATAATGATCCTGGACGTAGTTAGCCACAATTTCGGGTAGCGATGGCGGCTCGAAGTGCGCTAAATAAGGTTGAATGCACCTATCCTTGTTCTTGGATGGGCAACCTTGGGTCGACACATGACGCAAGCAAAGCTGATATCCATTGTGCTTTGGTATCTTTGCAGATACATTTTGGGGAACGCGTTTGATCGTTCGACCTTGTGCTGCATCCGAATGGGAACCCACCGCACTTGGACTTGTCACCGTGCGTTGGACACTACTTGGGTTGGTGCCGTCGGAAGTGTAGTAGCAGATCGAGGTGGCTCTCGGACTAGCTGGAACAATAATTTGCTGATTTCACCGTCCTGCGTGTTGAAGCGGTTCTGAACTGCGGAGCGGATACAAAGGCCTAATGATACAGCATTTATCACCGCTGTTCTATAAGCTCCAAATACGCTGATAAACCAGGATGCGAGAACAACAATTTCCCGTGAACTCTAAGAAGAAAATTCGAACAGTCTGTCACCAAACTTCTTCGCTGCTGCGACGAGTGCTTGCGTGTGAACGTCGAAAAATTCTTGAGCGAAAGTGTGGAGTACCGAGATGACCTCTAGGAGATCCCAGTACTCGGGGTGCTCAGGGATATCAGGCAGTTCCACTTTCGGCGAGAAATTGCGCAAGTTGACAGTCTTCGTCTTCTCCGTGTTGATTTGGGCGTCGATATCCCACCGTAAAAAATGCAATACCGAGAGGCTACAAGAATCAAAGTCAAAGTCGAACAGGCGAGACACGATAGCTGGATGGGGTATGAAAAGTGTTGCGTCCGAGGTGCGTACACGGTCCAGAAAATCCTCTGTAGTCTTACCTGAATATGTTGGAGCTGAAATTACCCGATGAACATCGTGCTGAACCCTCGATGGTCGAGCTTTGTGAGCTTCTGTCCGCAGTGTCGTTTGTAGATAACAAATCGCTTGCCAGTTGTCGTAAGTAAGGAGGAGGATTTACTGGTACTGGTAATGCTGCCTTCGTCGGACCGGGGCAGGATTCGGGATGTTGTGGCGCCGTAGCGAGGGCTATCGAGCCCCAAGTCAGGGATGTCAGACAGGTACAGCAGGACAACCGTTTGCGGCATGGCAATGCTTGAACTTATCACTGAGAAGGAAGAGACTTGGGCCTGGTGGAGGAAAAGCGATAATGACTGAAGACTTCTCGATCTCTGTTGAGGCTAAGTTTGGTCAGCCGAGCTTTAGAATTAAGGACTGTCATTCTGCCATCTGCTCCACCATGAAAAAGTGCTTTTCACCTCTGGCCAAAAGCTCCAATTACTGGTTGGTGTGATCCTCTGCGGAGACTTTTGCGGGGCAAGGCAAATTGTGGGATGAGATTGCAGAATGATGCCTGACTAGTTCGTACTGAATTATCCTAGTGGTTTTGAGCAGCAGCATCGGTCTTAACGACGTGAAGTCTCATCACAAAATTAGGATTTGGGATGCAATTGTAGAAGGACTCATCAATGGCCATCAATGATTACGAAAGTTTTGTTAGAATGAATTGTGGACATTTTCGTTTAACAAAAAATTGATCGAACCTTATCACCCAGCAGAAATCCAAATCATATTTTCCTTCACCTATAGAGTCGTACTGTACGTAACGATACTCTATCCCGAGTTTTAAGTCGGTGTGCTGCATTACGAACACGGAAATCGTACGCATAGATCCAAGTTACCACTCCTGCTGGTTTTGAGGAAATGGGGGTACATAACAGCTCCGTGTGGCACTCACTCTCAGAGTTCTAGATTTCAGCAGAAGCGGCTGGGAACATCACTAGGATAACCATCGACCTGGAGACTAGCCGCACGTACGGTCGATACTGTACAGCATTTGTTGTTCTGCTCCTTGGCTTAGATCGAGCATCGCCATCGAGAAAATCGGTCATTAAGATGATTGGATAGGAAATTCTTGTTTTCAAAAATTCTAATCAACATTGATTTAAACCTTAGCTTAAATAGACGGAATGGAAAAGTAAAAATACTGTGCTGCATAGCTCAATGTAGGCAAATGGAATACTATAAACGCCCCTGAAATGTTCGTAGTTTACCAAAACCAATAATCTGTGTCATCAGTGATGGTGGGTCGCTTTCACTGATGACACAGCTGTCCAACCACATGCACGCAATTGCTACGATCAATGTATTGCTATAAATTGCCCAGATCTCCGAAAACAATCCTCTGTATTACTGTAGCTCTTCAACAACAAGATAGGCACTGGCTCCAATCATACGTTTCGATACGATCGTGCTTTTCAACCACTACTTGAGGAACTTTTCTCGTGATTGTGGTAATTGGGACATTTATCACAATGTCGTGCTTTCGGCTGGACACAGCTCTGCATTTTACCAATTAAACGGTAAGAAGAACAGTACTTTGCCGTTTTAGGATGCTAAAATAGAGAACGGTATTATGTTGTCCAGTATATGTGGTTGGATCTACTTTTTAACGATGTTCGAGTTGAATATGCGTATATGGAAGCTTCTAGTGAAAAGCTTTGTACTCTGGGTTTAACGTAAAGAGGAGGCGGTCATTCTAACCCAAAATTACTCAGTTACTCAAAGCTTGCAAATAGTTCCTGCTGACCTTGATAATACTGTTATATAAGAGTGCCACAGGATAGTCGTGCCCAATATAATGGGATGTTCCTTCTGTTATTAGATACACGTGATTTCTGCTCATATCTGAAGCAATATCCTTCATTTAATGAAGTATTTTTCTTACACCATTTATATCTCATTCCCGTAACACAACTCAAGCAGAACACCTGGATTTTGTTGTGGCGGCCAAGCGCTACATCATCGGTAAATTAGGGGAGATAAAAGTAATTTAGTATGATGAATCTACGCTCAAAAAGCAGAGATGGGAATTCGACGAGGACTAATATCAATAGAGAAGGCGGATAATGCACATCTTTATCCATTAACCTACCTGGTTGCTGTAGCCCGCTTACTTCCTGGTTTTTTTTGTTTTTGTTTTGTTATCATTCTCCGCCATAAGCTCTCTCTCGATCTCTCTCTCGATATGAATTAGTGTATGAAGACTCGTGGCATCTGTATGCTCACTACATGGACTCAGGAGAAAATCCAGAGAACTACTTCCCTCGCTACTGACCTCGAATCGAGATTTCACCGAATCACGATGGCCCTTTTCAACCTGACACTCTAGTAGAATGATTCTACCAAGGTACTAAACGTTCAGTGCACAGTACGGAAAACATCTGTTTCTGAGGGTGCTTCGTCATCAAATGGTGAGCAACTTTCAGTTGCCGGTTAATACTGGTAGCATGCTTAAAATGATTTTCGCAGTATTCAATGCATTCCTAATCACTTGCCATTTCGCTTGCTACTTCCCAGACTCGACCCTGCCACAGTATGTCTGTTTACCGCAGCCTATTGGCGATGGTGCTTGTTCTCCTGGCCAACAGGGAGGCTCTCGCTGGGCTTCATCAAAGCAAGGCTTCAACAGAGTCGTCGACCAATGCCCCCTCTGACTACCAAGATAGGACACTTCTACGAACTCTGCAGACCGAGAACAAGTCTGTGTCAAAAATAAGTGATGCAGAGAACAGAGGTCTGCCTTTTAGCGTACCTACGTGGGTAAAAAACAAATACTGGTCCATTACTGGCAAAACCGAAGACGATGTCGTGAAGATTCTGGGACTGTATGGGTTATCGCGTGCGGCTCAGAAGAAACACGTCAACTATAAATACTTGCAAGAATACCGGTACATGATGGAAGGAAAACAACTCGACGAGTGGGTGAGGCGTGGAGACACCATGGACTCTGTTTGGCAACGTTTGGGACTGGTCAATATCCCTGTGAAAGTTTTGGAATCCACCAAGGAGTTCAATATCTACTTGCGCTTCATGAAAAGGTTTGATAAGTCCATTAAGAGCCAATACGACGAAGGCACCGTCAAGGCTCTCTGGGTTTACTACATGCCCCTAACGGAGGGTCAGCAGATGGCAAACATCAAAGTTTGGAAAAATGCTCGCAGATCCCGATCGTACGTTAGAGCAGCATTAGGATTGGATATTTCAGATTATAACGCCGCCTACTTCAAGCTATTCTTACACTTACGCAACAAAAAGAAGAAATAAACACTGACATGGCTTGCCCATCTCGACACAGAACCTTGGGCGACCTTTTCCCTCGTCATAGACCTTGACAGTTTGGTATTAGAGGGATCTGAAATGGTACGATTTTCTTATAATTATTGTGGCACTAAGAGGCATTTCCGCTGTTGTGTTTGGTCGAGCCTCGGAAAATGGCATACGCCATCGACAGCGTAAACCACTTTTTTTTTTTTTTTTTTTTTTTACTGAAAACTGTTATTAACTGGTATACCAATTTTGTTAACACGATGTATTTCTCTGTCGCTAAATTTTATATCTTTTAACACGCAATGTCTGTAACAATACACGCTTCTTGGCTGCTTTGTACAGTGAATCAAAAGAAAAAAACACCCCAGTCTTTAAAAAGAAGCACCTTATCCATGATCGGAAAGTTTTAGCGCAAGTGGGCGCTTCCTGTGAAAACCCTTCTTCACTTCACTTATGCTGGGGGCACAATAGCTCGCTGGGAATGCCACTTTATCGACTGTTGGGTTTATGAATACCAGTGTATTCGCCTAGAACGGGCATTGCTCCACTGTTATTGGATCCGACATTCGATGACACCTTACTGTGAGGTTACGTGTACTACTGTATTGCTTCAACTGTCTGCTCGTTAGAGCTCCTTCTGAGGGCTGTTACGGGTAAAACTTGTTAAGAAGTTTAGGCAGAAACACAATAAGTACATCAGATATGAAAATGATGAGAAAATCTTTGGTACTCTTTTTTTCTTAAAGATATTTGTTATTGATGTAACTTTTCGGAAAGCTAAGTTACAAGTAAATACAGCGCACTTGTTAACTCGTACGAGGAGAACGCAATCGTTAAATATTCAATTCAAAATTAATTGTATCATACTGTATAAGTAGAATAATCAGTTCTTCAACCCATTCCGCGGTTGCGGTAAAAGCTAACACTGCTCGCTGATTGGTGTATGCAGCTATCGGCATCGCAATCTCCTATCGTAGTCATCACGATGTTACAGCAAAGCTTACGCTCGCTCGAAACGGCACAAGCAAATGAAAGATTGTCCAATCACCATCAACTATAATGGTTCGTATATCGCCGACATAAAGGTCAATTCACTAGTCTCGACCATCATCAGTCTTCAATTCACCAGTCCTGTTACACGTTGCCCTCTCCCATGGAATCGACGACTGCATACGCAGTCTCGGGGACACCGAAAAATGGTGAAGCGGCCACCAAGTTGGAGTTGGCCTCAGATAAGCAGGCGTCAGCGCGGAACTCTATCGTCGATGGCCAGCTGGTGCACTTGAGTGAGCTCTTCTCGTATGCCGATGGAACGGACAAAATACTCATGATTCTCGGAGCTATTGGAGCCATGGTTGCAGGAATTGCCCAACCCATCCAAATTGTGCTCTTTGGGGACGTTCTCAACACGCTGCATCCGTCCAACGGTGGTACTGACATCGAAGATGGCGTTCGAGACGTCGCACTCAAAATTGTGTACCTTGCCGTCGCCGTCTTCTTCGCAGGTATTTTTCAAGTCGCTTGTTGGAGTATCACTGCTTCCCGTCAATCGAAACGCGTACGCAGTGCGTATGTCAGTGCTATCATCACTAAGGAGATTGGGTGGTTCGATATGAACGAGCCTATGCAACTGGGGTCTCGTGTTGCTGAAGCTACGATGATTATACAGGAAGGCATGGGTCGTAAAGTTGGGGACGGACTGAGCTCTTTCGTCATGGGTATTGCCGGTATCATCATCGGTATTGTGAAGGGATTGCAACTAGCTTTAATCCTGCTGGCGTTCACTCTGTTCATCGCTGTTGCAGCCTTTCTCGCAATGAAAGTGCTGTCTACCTCTACACAAGCTGGGCTAGAAGCTTATGGGAAGGCCGGTGCCATCGCACAAGAAGCTTTGAGCAATATACGGACGGTATACATGTTCAACTGCATCAACCGTTTCGTTGACAAATATGAAGACGCACTCGGACTGTCAACGAAAGCAGGAATCAAGAAAGGTTTCGCTGTAGGATGAGGCACCGGTCTTATGTTCGCTGCGACGTTCTGTACGTACGCGGGTGGCATGTATTTTGGAGCTCTTATGGTGGCAAACGACCAACTGGACGGTAATTCCTGTTCGGGATCTGGATGCTACGACGGTGGAAAGGTGCTTACTGTGTTCTTCGCAGTCACGATGGGTGCCATGGCTCTAGGCCAAGCTGGACCAAGTATCGAAGCCATAACAGGAGCACGTTCTGCGGCTTTTCCAGTGTTTCAGACAATTTAAAGTCCTTCACTCATGGATCCCTTGTGTGAAGAGGGCAAAACGTTGGGTACTGTTTATGGTCGCATTCAGATTGAAAATGTTCCATCCCGGCGGGACGTACTAATTTGTCGTAATTACTCGTTGGCGATTGCACCGGGCGAGACTGTGGCCCTTGTTGGGCCCAGTGGGAGTGGTAAAAGCACCGTCGTTTCGCTGTTGGAACGTTTTTACGATCCGCAGACTGGTATCGTGAGTATCGATGGGGTCGATGTACGTACACTAAATGTCAAATGGCTTCGTTCACAGATTGGCCTCGTAGGCCAAGAACCTGCATTGTTTGCCACGTCAATCATGGAGAACATTCGATACGGGTATCCTGCCGCGACAGATGAGCAGGTGGTCGAAGCTGCTAAAATGGACAATGCCTACGATTTTTATTCAGGAGTTCCCACAAGGTTTCAACACAGAAGTGGGCGAACGTGGAGCGCAGCTTTCAGGCGGTCAAAAGCAGCGGATTGCTATTGCACGTGCGATCATCAAGAATCCATCGATCTTGTTACTGGATGAGGCGACAAGTGCCTTGGACATTGAGAGCTAACGCGTTGTGCAGGCGTCGCTTGATCAACTACTGGCAAACTCGCACAGAACCACGGTCATTGTAGCTCACAGACTGTCGACGATCAGAAATACTGACCGTATTGCTGTGCACAGCGACGGAGCTATAGTTGAAATTGGTTCTCATGACGAGCTTATGGAGTTACCCAACGGGCATTATCGTAGTTTGGTCGAAGCTCAAGCTCACGCCTCACACGACGATAAACAGAACGCTGTCGATATGGAAGAACAGGAGGATCAGAGATCGACACGTGGCGATATCAAGCTCAAGCAATCCACTACGCAGCCCAGAACAAAAGATAAGAATGATACTGTCAGTGAAGACAACGAAGAGGGCGATGTACAGTTGCCTCCATTTTCGATAAGTCGGCTGTGGAAAATGTCTGCTCCCGAGTGGAAGTTTATGGTCATGGGTGCTTTCGGTGCAGTGGTGAATGCTGCTGTGTTCCCCGTATGGGGCGTTCTTCTTGTGAAGATCACAGTGCTGTTTTTCCGACTCGATTACACGAAGAGTGAGATGCTTGACCATGCACGCTGGTGGTCCCTGGGATTTATCGGGCTGGCAGTTTTCTTCGGCGTGTCTGTAATGATGCAGCACTATGGCTTTGGTGTGGTTTCTCAGAGACTGATATCACGTGTGCGGTTGGCTACTTTCAGTGCGATGTTAGAGCAAGAGATTGGCTGGTTTGACTTGGATGAGAATTCTTCGGGTGCTCTGGTGTCTCGATTGTCGACGGACTCGACGGTACTTCAAGCGATGACTTCGGAAATGCTCAACCGAGGGCTGGTTAATGCTACAACGCTCGCTATTGCTTTCGTTATCGCCTTCTACTACAGCTGGCAAGTGACTCTAATCCTGCTGGCGGCATTCCCCGTAGTGGCATTATCTTCATTCATCCAGGCCAAACAGGTTGCTGGTACCAACGCTAGCAAGCAGAACAACGACGCCGACACTTTGGCTGGAGCTTTGCTCACTGAAGTAATCGGTTCTATCCGCACCGTTGCTTCATTCGGGATGGAAAGTGCTTTAAACTCGGTATATTCGGACTTGTTGAACGCCTCGAAGGAAATCGACGCGAAAACCGGTATCATCGGTGGGTTATCGTTTGGTGTTTCACAAGCAGCGATGCTGATGGTTATCGCACTGGTTTGGTATATTAGTGGGATCTGGATCTCCGACGGTATCATCACTTTTGAGGAGATGTTTATGGTGGTCCTAGTGATCATGACTAGCACTTTCGCAGTGGGAATGGCAGTGCAAGGTGCTACAGATGGCACCACAGCCAAATTAGCTGCTCAGCGTGTCTTCAAGATCATCGATCGCAAGCCAAAGATTAATTCAACCTCGGATGCAGGGCTTAAGTTACCGTGTATAGATGGCAACATCGAGTTCTGCAAAATAGAGTTCGCGTACCCTGCTCGACCCGATGCAAAGATCTACAGGAGCTATAGTCTGAAGATTGAAAATGGCCAGACAGTTGCTCTCGTCTGAGCGAGTGGCAGCGGCAAGAGCACGGCGATCTCGCTGCTGGAACGCTTCTACGATCCCAGCGCTGGTTCAGTGACACTGGATGGTTACGACCTTAAAGAACTGAATGTGCAGTGGCTGCGAGAGAATGTTTCTTTAGTCAGTCAGGAACCAGTACTATTTTCTGGAACCATTGCGGAGAATATCAGTCTTGGTAAGCCTGGATCCAATCGCGAGGAGATTGTCGAGGCAGCAAAGAAGGCGAACGCTTTTGACTTCATCAGTAACTTTCCGAATGGCTTTGATACCGACGTGGGTGATCGTGGTGCTCAAGTTTCAGGAGGTCGAAAGCAACGTATTGCTATCGCTCGTGCCATTCTTCGAGACCCGTCGGTGTTGCTATCGGACGAAGCCACAAGCGCTCTGGATAATGAGAGCGAGCGCATGGTGCAAGTCTCGTTAGATCGATTACTAACGCAGAAGCAGCGCACTACGATCATCGTGGCGCATCGTCTCTCCACTATCCGACATGCGGATCTAATTGCTGTAACTCAAGATGGCGCTATTGTCGAGCAAGGTACGCACGACCAACTCTTGCAGCTTCCAAACGGTATCTACAAAGGTCTTGTCGGTCATCACGATACCATCGAATAACAAACAGAAAAAACACATGATCATTGGAACTGTTCGGATGCACCGTCGTCATGTTCACCAAAAGAGCATACGCTGTTTTGTTAACATGTAAGTTCGGAAGGGGGGGGGGGGGGGGGGGGGCTCCCTATCATCCTGGTGAGACCGACTATCTTGAGCTATCTGTTGAACAAGCTCAAGAAATGGGAAGGATAGACCCAGCAGTAGATTGTCGTCGATAAAGATTGAGTCTGCTATGCCTGCTACTCAAGAAATTTAAAAAATACTTTCTATACGCAGGGTGGGCATGATGAAATCGTCTTAACTATTACCATGGCTAGCACTGGGAAGATCTGGGTTTTACAGGTTGAACCGAGCAAATACTTATTTATACTAGTATAAATTAACTTTATAAACAAACACAGCTTTTTGTTTGTCGCGCATTGCCTGTAACGCCGCATCGGCATTACTTTGCCCGTAATTACATTGGCTATAGAAAAAAAAATACATACTCGTAGTGTCTCCAAAATGTTTCTTACTTAAAACAAAATAGAAAATCTGCACCGCTTACCTATTCGTAAGACATTAGGATATTAAAAGTTGATGCGATTCGCTTAGTGTGTGTGGGTGCCGGTCAAATTTACACGATTCTAAATATAAGAAGAAGAATTCAGCAATACCATACTACGTGTAGCTCTCGTCACGTCAGTTGTGTAGAATGCTAAGTTAGTGTTTTTGTTCAATTTACTGTCAAACAAACTATCATTGCGATGGTTGTCCAACTCGGTACTCTTCCGCAAAAAAAAATAATGCAGGAACTAATGGCTCACGGCATTGCCAGCTCTACTACTTCCCTCAATCTCTATGTGCAAATTGGTGTGTCTCCGTCCAAGTTGCGGGTGTTGGACATTTGCACGTTGGTGTCAGACGAGAATAAGCTACTTGGTGGCATGGTATCGACGGGGAAAAATGCGTTGTGATCAGCTTAAGACCACAACCAGTAGCACAGGTATGCGCAGGATCAGTTGCATTGCTTAGTCAGTGTCATTCATTGAGCCATTCATATGTATACATGGTCTCTCAAGAAAACTCAAAGGATTCACGTACCTTTCGATGTTGAAATTCTTGATGACGATAGTGAGTTTGTTAACTAGGCTTCTATGAAAAATAAATCTACACACTTGCAGTGGAGAACGCAGAGATGGATGAAGGATATGTTGAAGACCTCAAACGAGCGTTCAGCAGGTGGAGTGTGTTGCTTACATAGGCTAAGTGGAGTTCCTTCGTATTGATATAACTGCCTCTATTGCGTATTAGTGAAATGACGGAAAACATGAGAGATCGGTGAATTCCATTGGAATCGTATGCGTACGACCAAGAATTTGGTTGGGCGTTGCGGGTTGGACTTCTTGAGCCGTCCCTGACGAAATACGGGATGAAGGTGGCAGATGCACCTACAGAGGCTGAAGACGTCAAAGAAGAAGTGAGCGCAAGCGACTGCCAGCATTGGAGGTCTTTCAATAAACGAGGACGAGTAGGCACTAAATCAGGAGAAGATCCCATACCCTCATGAACCATAATCTCTTCATACTTCTCCTTCATGCAACCAAGCTGCTTCCAGCGTTTCAGAGCTAGTTCAAAATCTTTGACGTCTATGCAAGGAGGATTGCACGGCAAGACTACGAGCCAAATTGAAGAGAAGGAACAGCAGATTACTGCACGGGCGGAGGCTGTCCAGAGTTTGCGTACTCGGGAGATTCGATCAATCATGAAAGCGTATGTTTGCGTCTTCGTCAAGAACCTGAAGAAAATACAAAGCTACAACTGACGTTGTAAACTTGATAGAGATGGCGATCAAATGTCGTGCCTCAACGAGTCCTCGGCAGATGACAGATATGTTGCTAAGTTGGTGTTGTGGCATGGGAACATTAGAAAATAAGGCTGTATATGAATCGGCTTTTACTATAGTTCCAACGTGCTTCTATACGAGGTAGATGAGTGGGGCAGCCAAAACAGTCTAAAGTCACCAAGTCTGCTACTAGAAGTGACAAGAATGACAATTTGGATCTGTCTCAAGCTGATGATACTCTCACGTTTCTTTCGAAGATGAAGACGGTCGATCAGAGGATTAACTCGAAATGAAGAACCCGTCTCGTACAGTAGTAATTCTCTGTCGTTATTTGGTAAAGTGATCGGGTAGGTAGCCTGCAACGGACGAGATTGGAGAAGTAAACTAAAGTTTTACCGGGAGGGATACGGAGTATCCTGTAGGACATTATATCGTTTCAAAATGTCGACTGAGTTACAAGTAACATTAGGAGACCTTCAAGGAATATTCTGCTTGGACGACCTTCGTTCAACTTGTCGCGCGTGCCACGGAATATGATGGTCAGGCCCTAACGCATCTACGTCAATGAGAACTGCCAAGTACTACTCAAGTACCTTACAAGGAACGATGTCTTCGACATCGAGAAAAGAAAGGCTCTCGAAGGATTCAATGCGTACGCGTAGCAAACCGCGACTATAAATGAAGTCGCACTCGTATCAAGTTCTCCTTCGAGGGAACACTGCCAGTCGGCGTCTTCGAGAGCGAAAATCTACCAGTTATTTTCTGGTTGCCATCTTGGGCTAGCTGTCCTCAAACAGCGTCGTCTTAAATATTTTGTATCTAATTCAATGAGGGACATTGCATTGGTGGAAGACGCTAATAGTGTTTAGCAGCTGTAGTTCCTCACGTAGTGGTGACACGCAAGTCATATCGAGTGGTTCTGGCGTCTTCATGTCCCGCTTGAAATTTTTACGGAATAAACTGTTCCAGATTTGTTTTCATATGGAACCCAATCCGATTTATTTATACGATTGATAATTTTGCATACAGGAAGAAGTCCTACACTATCACCAATTACTGGGGGCCGGTAAAAAAAAATGTTATTCTGTATGTTAAAATGTACTAGCGACAAGAACACGGTCCAGCTCAACCAGTGATCCTTGATTACGAACTACCACTGTTGATGAACCACGAAACTGTGACAATGAGAATTGGGGTACATTCTTCCACATGTAGTAAAAATCCAGGCTGTTATAGGTTCTCTATCTTGCTGTCCTCGGTCTCCGCAAAATAAAGATGTTCGGAGATTATCACTCTTGAAAACGTAACCACCAACGTCAATACTATTCCTGAAGCATGAAAACCAGCTATCTCCAAGTGTTTGTTATCCTTTCCGCGGTGTCCTCCGCGACAGCGACCATCACCGTCAGGATTTCTGATAGAATTAATTCCTTTGATTTCAAATTTATGACCAATCACACGCCGCTACTTCAGCGTTACCACTTCAGGCTACGGCATCTCGACACAAGTCAATATAGTTGTAACACTAGAATGCTGATGTGAACGCTCTTTCGTGCGGTTCGTGGTGCCAGACTTGAAGCTAGCATTCTCTGATGCACCTGGCAACAGAGTAACCACAGACCCCCCCCTCCTTTTCGGTGACTAACAATGTGGAGTCGATGACAACGACGCGGACTGATGGTGACCCTGAAGGATGCTAGGATGCTCTTGCTACGGCGTTCTCCAACAAGCGAGTCGTCTATTCTTTCTCACGCACTTCGAAGTTCCACCAACACGCTGTTTAATGACACGGACCCGGGAATCAATGTCAACCTTACAGACGTCAAAGTAAGCTAATATCGAGATGACGTAGTCCAGAGAACACGGTACATCCTTAATCTAGTTGAAGGCGACTAAAGGTTGGAAGAATTGAGTTTAAGAAAGTAAGTGAAGCGCGCTCATGGTGGCTACTTACGAGCGCAGAGGGAAACTAGTGATGGTTGCGAAAGCTTGCCAAGGAGAAGCTGTAGATATGATGTCGTCCAATAACAACGAAAGCTACGCAAATGCGACAAGAAGTTGATACTTAGTGGATAACATAGTTGGTTTTAGCCAGTTAAGTCGTGATTTGAACATTACGCATTTCATTGAAGGAGTTAGAGTAGCTAAAAATGATTTCACCATGAAATGAATCTGCTGTATTTGCAATGGCATTTGCTGTATGGTTTTCCTCGTGAAGGAAAGAAGCGTTCTGTGTTAACCATGGCTCTGTCACACTTTCGCGATTAGCCTAAGAAGCGTGGCCAGCGATCTTGCGGTAGTCGTAGTACTGGGAATAGAGCTTGTGTGGCACATGACCATACACATCGTTTGAAGTCCATCCGCGTTTGGACCATTTGGCGAACTTCTTGTATGCGAAGTTGATATCGCTCAGCATCTTATTGAGTTTTCCTTCTTTAAACGCGTTAACACCTCCAGCTCTTTCTTCCTCATCGTCTCCGTCGACGTTGTGGCTGCGTAGGGATCTCTTGACACTGGCAAACGCATCCGCCGAGCGAACCACTTCTGGTCCCAGCTTTGAGACAATGTCGCCTTGGGCGTTCGTGGCTCCACAGAGGTCGGGAGTGAGGAGGACAGGCAGATACCATCAGAAAGATGTTGGAGAAACGCATTCTCGCGGGTGACGCTTGTTCTGGGCTCGGGTACTGGAGGGAAAATTGCGGAATGACATAAGCTTGGATCAAGAGCGACAGTCTTCGTGGCCATAGCGCCAACAACCACAGCACACATGTACGAGCAACAACACACGCACGGCCTCTTTACTTCGAACATCCGCTAAGCACGATAGCAGTCTGTGATGGGATCTCGCGTAGCTGTGAATGCCTCTTTTCATAGCTCGCTAGTATGTGACAGCCGCAGACAAATCTTGTTTTAGGTTGCCCAACTTGGGTACCAACTTGAAGGTCTGCATTCAAATCATGCGAGACATTTCAATTGTCTTCTTGCGGTTGACGCCAGTAATGGCTCGCCGCAAATTCAGATCTACAAAAATATGTAGGTATACATGTATAAATAAATGAGCTCTCGTCCGCACACGTTTGCTATTTTCTTCTGCAGGTGTTGTAGGTTTTCCAGCCAAACTGTCTCCAGTTATCTTCGAGGCATTAGCTAGACTAATTCACTGTAACGTATCTCACCAAAAACTAAGCTACATTAAAACTCTTCGTTATCAGGCGAACGGCTGCTTATTATAGCTGTAAGATCCATGGTCGCACGAATTTTTGTACATGTCAATATTCTCAGTATTATAAGAGTTTTACGACTTCTGTATTGATATATACGCCGACACAAGTGCATCAACAGCATGATAAGCATTTCCTCACCAACACTCCACATTAAATACCTTACATTTACCCACCAATCCGTTTCATCATATTAAGTGGCGTGGCTGAGTTTTTGTGGAAGTGGATAAGCACGCTGCATCCCCAACTTATTCTCCACTTGTAGAACTGTCTATATTGCTTTAGAAACT